AATAAACTATTCTTAAGTATACTTGATTTTAAAAAACAATATATTCTTACTAATTTACGGTAGCAAACAACTCTAATCATAATATTATTATTTCTTAATCTATTTTATTAATTTGTATTAAATGATCTATATTACTTTCTTAATTTATATTAAATTCGTAAAATGTGTATTTTATTTCTTACACTGTTAATTAGAGATACAAAGTAATTAAATAGAATAAATTCTATAAGATATGTGCGAAATTTCTGAAATCTTCAGATATTACTTTCAAAGTAAACCAATTTACTGGCTCGTCTTTTTTATCTATTTTTTGTTGCGCTCTCACTTTATCTCAATTTCGTCCCGCGACTCGCAAGATTCCCGCGGAATGAATATGCACGCCAAGTTCGGGGAAAAAAAAATACGAGAAAAGATTCCGACAGAAAGAGAAAAGGCGGTTGAAACGTGGGGGCGAGAAGCAGGGAAAGGCGATTTGGCCCTCCTACAAACACTGTAGCCCCTCGCCGCAACTTAAATTGACTCGATAAAAGTTCGCGGAATAAAGCGCCACTATATCAGAAACATCTGCCAAACGTTATTACAACTTTGAATAAAGAACGGCGGCCAGAGAGGGTGCCAGGGGAGGAATAGGAGGAGGATCACTTCCTTGTCGTCCTCGCGACGACGATGAGGAGCGAGGAAAAAGTTCCAAGTTTGCGTTCGCCGACCGAAGACCGTGGGAAAATTCGCTCGTAAATCAAGCCGTTATTTTAATTTTGTTAGCTCCGTATTAGTGGCCCTGTTCCAGCCATTCATTTTCATTTCGACAATCTGCGTGTCGATCGTTGACAATAATCTCGTAAAAGAGGGCGTGTACCAGGCGTGATCAAAAGGTGAGGTGTGAAAGTTGGTTGGAAATTACTAAAGGATTTTCTTAGGATCAAGATATGGTAGAAATCATAAGGATGAACCTCTAAATATGGAAAATGCATCCTAACGTCCTTCGTTTATTTAATACTATTATAAGATCAATTCTAATATTCTGTTAATAACAGATATTTCGAGGGATATGTACTATAAAATTTTGGTATGCAAAAATAGGTAACAATGTATAAATATCACTTGAGTTGAATATTACTTAAGTAATATATTAATTATTGAATAAATGATATCTGTTGACTAATATTTTTCCGCAAAAGTTTTTTAGTCTTTTATTTTAGAAAAAGAATTTCAATATTTTTATTGCAAATATTATATTCAATGTATTTTAATGTGAAAAATACATTAGACTGGTAAATATAGATTGAAGTTATATGTACAGTAAGTAAAGATAGATAATATCATTTGAAATCTAAGAAAGTATATAGACCTCGTTTTTCATTCGGGCAAAATTATTTCTTTCAGTGTAATCTAATTTCGTCTCGCGATAACTTTATCGATTTATATCGACGCCGGTTCTTTGCGAATATTCTTTCAATACCTACAACTCTTATCCTCATAATTGAGGCAATCTCCATCTTGTCGGGTTTGTCTGTTTTTCCTTCGGTTTAGCCACTTACTGGCATGAGAGCGAAACCGGCTTATTTCGGCATCTCACGGATGCTGTGAAAAATCGATTAGCATCGCACCCGCTTGAGAGTACCGTGACGTATTCGAGGAGACACCTCAGAAGCGAAAAGTTCGGTCTCGAAAGGAGTCAAAGATGCTACAAATTGTAGGGCTGAGCGGATTTGCACGTGATCTCACGGCGCACGGCACACGCAATCACAATTAAATCATAATATCAACGATATAATTGTTTTCCAAAAATAAAGACGTAAAATTAATAATTATTTAATCTGGGGAAGATAAAAATAACGATAAAATATGTTGAAAATGTGATAAACTTGATCGATATAAATAAAACTAGAATTAATTTCATTTTAATTTCACTGTTAAAGTTTATAAAACAGAAAATATTTAGATACGATAATATAATTAAATTTTTCTCTAAAATGTAAGAAATATATTGCACAGGAAAAGATTATCAGCCTAGAGATTGCGTTAAAGAGAAATTAATATTAAAAAAAAACATTGTTATCGAAAACAATATCAAAAGCAAGAGATACTGACGCCTGTGATAGTATTCAAATATTGCAGGCGGCCTGACAATAATTACGGCGTGCGGAACGGCGTTGCAGATTAATTGTAACTGCATCGCGCCGCTACCGATTCGCCTAATTAATTCGGTTACTAATGGCCGCTGTGGCGTTCTCGACTTACCAGGGATCGAACGTGCCCAGCAGCGACCAAGTGGAATCGAATGGGAGATTCCACGGCTGTCGCGCGTGCGACGATAGAACTCGCTCTGGAATTAAATTGTCAGAAATCTCTGCTCACGCGGCACCCCTGCGTGAGAGTTCGATTAATTCCGATCGATCCAAAGCTGGGCGGCGGCTTCTCGATCGCCTTCCGAGCCCTCCGGGCATCTTCGCGCCACGGCGATCGACGATCTATTTCGATTAGGATCGTCTCTTACGCCTTCGTCTCATAATGCATTCGTATTTATAGCTTAATTTTTCTAGAATAGTACATTCTCTTTCTTAAGATATCTTCAACTGTTCTCACAGACTTTTAACAAGTTTATATTTTTTGTCAAGTGTTCTTAACGTCTCGTTCGATACTTTTCAATCGTAAATTATCCCAGGTGAAATTTATTTAAAGTAATGCATTCGAGTTACTTTGCTATTTACACTCTTCACACGTTTCTCAGCAAACAAGCGCTTATAATACCTGTTCATTCGGATGGTTTATAGCGCGAAAGAAGAATGAGGATTGCTAACGTAATGCAGCACTCGTAATTCTTGCTTAAGCACATGTATGCCGGAAACGGCGACGAAATAATGATAAAATAACGACGGAAGTGTACTAGCGTATGACGTGAGATAAATATATGTTTGCTTACAAAGAAGTAGTAGATTAAAAAATTTATTAACTCAAATTCTCTAAGCATGTAGAAGTTTAAAAAATTCAAACTTCCATCTTTAGCAGTTTATATCTCACTCTGCACAATGCGCCACATATTTATATACTAAAAAATGATATTTTTTTGTTATTATCTTGTCATGTTGTTTAAATAATAAATAATCTAGAAGATATGAAACAATCTCTATTGTAAAATTCGACGAATAAAATTTTAAAAAAAGCGAGAAAAAGAAATCAACAATTGCGATAAAAATTTTTGCATTCTGTTCTACGATTGTTTTAGCACTCATCATCATTTCTGTATGTGTGTATTTTGCATTGAGCTGTTATCGCGATAAAACGTATATCGGTGCAAATAAAGCATCTATTGATTTACGAATTTACGGGAAGAAATCCTATAGGAATTTCCTATTCAACGCAGAATGGTATTCGGAATGATTTAGTTAGCTCATTGGCGGAACGTTCGCCGTGCGGTTCGGGATCTCGCAGCATCAATAACGTCTAATCACCTCGGCGCGGAGAGTCGATCCTACCCAGTCGCGCGATGCAATTTCGTCCTCTAAACGTTCGCCACAAATCACGCGCCGCCGCTGCACGCGATTCGGAAAGCCCCGGTTCGACATTTAAACTCGGTCGGATTATGGTTGACCAATAATTAATCGCCATCCACTATCGCGTACGAACGGCTCGCGTAAGTGTTTAACATCGGCAAATGGCCAATCGATCGATCGTCCAAGAACTTAATAGCAAACCGAGAGCACTGTGCGGGTATCATTGATACATTTGATGAAATGATATATTTGAACACATCGTGATATTCAGCATTTTTCAAATGTGAAAAATGACGCATGTAAAATTATAGGAAATAAATTCCTATCTCTTTTGAATTTATATTGGATTTTTTGAAGTCAGAATTAAAGTTTGGGATTAAAGATATTATTTCTTATAAATTTATACTCTGATTATGAACAGTTATCTGATAAAATATATTTTCGAATTTACTTGTTTCTAATTTAATTCTTAATAATTTCTTTTGTTTTAAATGTGTAGAAACCTTTAGTTGCAATCAAATTGCTTCAAAATAATAATTCTACATCTATAAATATGTAAATGTATTATTTATTTTTTTAATAACTTTAAATATGGCGGAGTTACTTCGCAGGCTTAAATTGTTCATTGTCCCGAAGTGCCTCGCCCTTATCCTTGCTTACACATCCCTAATCGAGGGCGTAGTTCCTGCGAACATTTTTGCGACTCACCCTTCGTCGAAGCCGACGCGATGCCAGGATCATTGCTCTTTGATCGGTTGGCTAGAAACGATAAGGAGTATATATTTATTTCCAGGTGAACCGAAGCGAATAGCGGAGACGTGATGCGGAAACGATGTTTGGATGTACGCGAAAATAACCAAGGCATTGCTTCGTACAGTTCCGATAGAAAGCCCATGTCAAGCGTGAAATTTTCATCCCCTTTTAAGAAGATATTTTAATAAAATAAAGAAAAATAAAATTTAGATAAAATTTGTAATGCAATACGTTGGTAAAGATTTGTAACATTTCTCAGCTCTACTCACAAACCAATGAAATTATTTTATTACTTTCAATTTCGAGATTTATAAGATTCTTGTTGTTTGTTGATGATCTTTTTTTTATGTTTAGATGTCAAAGTTACTACTGTCGTTGTGATTTTAATTTATCTTTCAACAATCGACATGTATGCATGTGACACAATTTGCCGCAGTTTTATCATTTTTTAGCATTCCGAAAAATAGAAATCCTGCCAAGAATTCTATCTCGAGTGTACAGGATTTTTCATTTCGGTTGTATGCATGGTTTTATATTCCGAAAAGGTAGTCGTGCTACCGTACATCTTTCTGATCTCCAATCGAGCCGTCGCTTAGCGGAGCGTGAAACACATTTGCCCGAATTGCGGTGCCTTAACCACGCGAGCTCTTACACACGATCTGGATCTGCTCTTTATTCCCCCTTTTTTCGTTTAAACAAAATATATTTTAATATGACTGTTTTAGAAAAAAAAATTATGTGCAAACGACATACCAATGTTCTTCTTAGTTTTCCTCAGACCACATCTGTCGTTGTTCACGCCAGAAAATAACGCCGGAGAGAAATTATCTGCAAAAGAAAAATTAAATTTTTAGATTTTTTATGACTTGGCAATATTTAAGTTATCAATGTGTTAATTTAGCTTAGTAAGTTAGCTAGGTAAGTTAGCTTGGAAAACAGATTAGTGGTCTTTAAATTAATACATCCACACATTCGTCGACAAGAATTTTCGTTCTATAAGATTTGTGTTGCAAATTGATAATTCAACAGTCCATATTTATTGCTGCATTCTATTGTGCATTTTTTGTACTTATATAAATTATTATGTGAATTTCCAGGTAGTTTATCGAGCATAGAAAATTTGCAAATTTACTCATCTAGCCGTAATGCTCGCACTAAATTATAATCTCGAAAGTAAAACAAATGACAAATTAAACGTCTTAAACGGCGATATTTGACACTAGACTGTTGTATAAGATGTGAATATACAAATCACCCGAAAGAAAGCTGTCTTAGAAACAATTTGCTATCGACAACGACGCCGCTATCGTCGTTGGGGAATTTTTATCCGCGTAAACGATTTGCGAGCTGCCGCGTCGCTGAGAGAAAGAGAGAGAGAGAGAGAGAGAGAGAGAGAGAGAGAGAGAGAGAGAGAGAGAGAGAAGGAAAGAGAGAAAGAGAAAAATACGCAGCGCTCGACTACGAGCGGAATTGAGCGCCGGATAATTGTTTCGAACAATCCCGGGCGACGCTTTTCGTCGGTTCCCATGGCAACGCGAGCCACCGCTCGCCTCTTCGTCGGCCAGCAATCGAAACTGTCCTCCACCGGTAGGAAGGGGTGCTACCCCCACTGTGTGTCCCCCATTCGATGAAGGCTGTGGTAGGGAAAGAGGCGTAGGCGGGGCGAAAGTCGCTCCGAAGAAGTTCTCGCACTCGCAGGATCCGCCTCTTCCGCTCGCCCGTGCAGACGTACGCGTAGCGTCGCGACGCTCCGGTTTGCCCGGAATCGTTTCGTTTTATTATCGCACTTAAAACAGCCGCGACGTCGGCGGGGCGCATCGATCCGTATTAGCTGTTAATTCCAGCTGTTATTATCCCTGCCACGCGGCCGGCTTGATTTTTCAGTTTTCGTATCCTTCCGCCTCGACCCATTTCCGTGCTACTTTCTCGCAATTAACTTTTGCGAACGACACTGGTTCGCATTTTGGCAATTTTAAATTTCACTCGAAAGCAGAACTGAATTTACTTGTTTTATCTTCGTGTATGATGTGAAGCGGACAATTTTTCTTTTATATATTTTCTTTTATAGATTTTATATATTTCAATTCTCGTTTTATTTAATCCCTTCAAGTTTCGTCTGTTGCACGCAAGATGATTAGATTTTATGCACAACAAATATAATACTTATTTATTAAAATATAATAGAACACAGATTGGAAAGTAGTCACAATCAATATTGATTCTAAAGATATTTTTTTTAAAAGACAGAAGATTAAGAGCTCCGATCATATTGCATTTCTTCAGATTTATGTGTTTTTTGTTTGATGACTTTTTTGACGGCTATAAGCCTTGATAACTCGATTAACAACCGTATCCCTGGCGCTGGAAAATAAAGCAAATGGTGGAAGGTAATTAATTTGCGGGGACAAAATCGGTAACGAGTTTGGCGCATGCAACCAAGCCGTCTTCTCTCACGCGATATCTCGAGTATTTATGCAAAGGCAGCAGCGTGCGTATTTGCACAGGCAGTATACTCGAACGCAGCTCTCGCTATCGTCAATGATTAGTTATGTGCTATGCATCGTAATAATTAAATGAGGTGACCAATAACCATTGTCTCTGAGATTACATTTATATTTTGCAAACAAAGGTAAATATGTTTATTATAAGCTCGAAGAGATAAGTAGATTAGATTAGATCAAGCATGAAACTTAAAATATGTTACATGCATTATTAAAAAAATAAATTAAATAAATGCCGCTCTTTTAAAGAGACTGAGTTTAAAAAATAACTCAACAGAATGAGTTTTTTTTCATTCAATAATGAGATAAACAAACTATTTCTATCAGTTCCAAATTTATAATTGGATTAATTAATATTATGTAATAAAATAAAACTTGAATAATTAAAAATATGTACAATTATTTGATGCAAAAATGATTCATTGATACAGTTTATTCTGCATTCATGCAATACGACTAATCCATTTATGGTTAACTCGAGAATCCTGGCCGTCGTTTGCACAACGAGCTTCATTAACAGTTCTAATTGGATAGCGCGATTCAAAATGATCGATGGACCAGCCTCGATTCTGGTCCTAGAGACAGTTCTGTGTGTTCCTTCTCGCGGATAATACAACCAAAGCGTTTTCTGCAAATGTGGCACTGTAAACCATTCGTTGTGTGATTTATGGGAATAGGTAGGGATGTAATTAGTGACGTTTGTTTTGCCGCAATATAATTTGCGATGAAATCGGCGCCAACAAGATAGAAGCAGAGTGGTATTCGCGAAATAAGAACGAGAGCTGTGCCTTTTCAGAGAAACCTAAACATGCATTCTGTCTCATGCGCATTGTCCGCACTTCAATGCTCGTTCTATTTTATTTCAGCGACTTACGTGTTATATGAAACAGAATGACTGCGCTGCAAGCATTGTGTATGACTCTGTTAAATAACATACGGGAGCATACAACAGACAACAAAATTCGTATAAAAAAAATAAAAAAAGAAAGTGAAAAAACGTTTTACGGTCGTTAAGCTGTCAATCTTCACGCAATCTTTATTTTTTAAATAAAGAAGAATGTTTATTTCTCTTTCTAATAAAAACTGATCACTTTTGCACTGTTAGTCTAGTTTATTATATGTGAAAGATTTCTGATTAACTTAAAAAATTGTAAGAAAGTTTTTTTTTCAGGTATTGCAGGATCTTAATCATTTCATCAACTTTTATGAATAAAACTCTAATTGAGGGTAATTGCATAAAAAAAATACGCTAACGAAACGTGAATAATTTTTGGAAATATATTAAACGATGAAACAATTTCTTTTATGTGTGTAACGAGTTTATGCAATAATATGTTTTCGCCACTTCTTGAAATATCGTATTTATCACTTCGTTTTACAACCGTGTTCGAAATGTTTGATGCGTGTAAATAATGGGAAATTCTAGGGTATATGAGGGCGTGCCTCTTTGTCATCAATGCACGCATTGGCGTGAAACGGAATAATTTTTCATCACTTCGTGTGCATCATGCGTGAAACGGAATGCACATTAAATAATATAGTATTATGGTATTATCGGTTTAGACTTTCATATGAACATTTAAATTCTTATGTATATGTTACAAAGAATCTTGAATTTCGGAATTTTAAAATTGGACTGAAAATTCTGACTGAATTTTGTTCCGTTGATCGAATTCTTTGATTCTAGAATTCAATGCACACAAGCTTCAATATTAATTGTAAATATTCTTAAAACCTCGGAGTTTTAAGCTCTAACATCATTGAATCCTTAATGAACGGATACCATCATGTTATAATCTTAGTCTCAGTCCAATAATTTCAATTTGGAAATTTAATCTGTTTGTGATATTCTAAATCTTAATTTTTTTTTTATAAATGAATGAATCTCAGGATTGCAGCGTCCTAAAACTTCCGTCGATTGCGATAGAAGACATTCGGCAATGTAAACAGTAATCGTAACTGATTAACTCGGCGGAGTGAAACTTCAGCTTCATGAATCGAAGAAGCATCAAACGACCGGACGATGATTATCGAGCAACTGAAATTGCAGGCTTCGCTGTAATTCACGGACACCGTGACTAATGGTTGTAATTAATACCACGCAATACAACCGGATCGTGCCGTACCTTGGTAATAGGCTTGCAGATACGTGCGCGGTATACCTAAAGTGCCTGCGTAAGGTGTCATTGATACACTCGATATTAAGATCGTCCCGAGTATAATATTGATATACAATCCCCTCGCGTCAAATATAAATCGATATTACGGCGTGCAGAAGCGGTAAGCAGTCCAAGAAATTAATGTAAAAAAACATCCGCACTACCTCTTTGGATTTTCCGAGGATCGGAAAAAAAGTTAAATTAAATTTCCGAGAGATAAAATCGTGCGAAACATATTATTAATGTTGATTTAAATAATTTGTGGAGATAAAAGAGAGATCAAACTGAAAGAATATAAGATCTTGAGAAAGTCAGTTAACACGTTTTGCAATCTTGTTATTTAACTGTAATTCGAGTGGAAAGTAAAAAACGATCAAATTAATATAACAAGACGTCGCGTATAGAGCATATGTGGAGATTTCGGTCGATGAGTTTCGCGTGCGCACGAAACCGGGCGTATTAATTCACCGCGGAAAGACAAGATGAACCTCTATCATAGCGTTCTGGATATTCCATTTCCACATTGCGGTGCCGCGGTGATATAAATGCTAATTCGTGACGGGCATTTCCGATCGACGCTGGAGGATTCCGCACCTAATTTTCCTCCTGCCAAGAGATTTGCCGCGGCCCGAGACAAACTGATCCGCGTTTGCAAGAGACACAAGGAATATATTCCACCTTTTGCGCGAACTTTGGCATGCGCGTCACTTTAATTGCATCCCGTCATTGTGAACGATCCTGTTGTGATTTTCTAAGCAGAGTGCCTGATTTAATTTCAATTGTGTTTCCATTGCTTAGACGGAACAAAAACTACATTCAATACAGTGTCCATTCAATGTGACACGGTAATATCGTTAAATGTTTGGAATCATTTTGTCTTTTATAAATTAATTATAAAGAATTACGTTTATACAGTTTTTGATATATTAACATATTTAATTGTGATACAATTAATTATTAACGCATGTTTTACGTCATTTTATTTGTTGCACTTAAGAAACATTGTTTTATACTAATTTCGCCTGATTGAAAATAACGAATTGGTTAGATTTTGACTTGAATGTCCCTTGGGAGGATGGAATCATTATCTGGTGCGCGAACATCGTGAAAAACTGCATCGGTTCTATCAGAAACGACAGAGGGCTGACGCGAGAACATCGCTTTGTCAGCGCGAGATCCCGGGAGGATTCGCGGACCGATTGGTGTCACCGAACATCCCTGGTCTTCCTGAAGATGAAAGGAGAAGAGGAGTGCGATGGACAAAAGAGAGAATCTAGTTCCGCTTGGTTGATACATCGATAAACGCGTTTGTTGTTAATCAAAATTTCCGACGTTCCCTGACTTTACACGTTAAGATTTGTAAAGTAAAATACGCTAAAATAGAAATTTTATTAATTTCCTAATAATATTAACAAATAACCGTGCATTAATTATCTTATTTCACGTGGCAATAGAATCAAAGAACTTTCTCAGAAGAGGAAAAATTTGTGGAATCTATTTCTGTCCTCCAAAATACGCTAGTCGCACTCTTCTAGTTACTGAAAACATAACACTGATATAAAAGAACTACTAAATAGACCCTAAGTAGGGTCTCGTGAACAATAAGTTCGCACCCGCAGCACGCGCAGGGGTCCTGTCGGATCGGAACACGTCAGCTAACCCAGCGAATCCCCTTTCGCGGTCCTTTGGGACCTGTCCCGACCAGTCAAGTCGAAAGATCGATGGAAACGATAAGGAGACTGTTTTTGATCAGTCGCCACATCGCGTTACGAGACGAGTCCACGATGATCGAACTTTAATTAAACAATATTTATGAATTTCGCTATCGCGATAATCAACGCGTTTTTTCGGCGTAGTTAAAGCGTCGCTGGACAACTAGTTTAGCAGAGATTCGATTTTGCACATTCAAGAAGAAAATCCACGTTAATTTTCCATAGACTCGTTTGGCTCATCGTCGCAATTCTCTTTGAAGGCATCCATTCTCCGCAGACTCTCGTCCTCCCCTTTCCATTATTACTCGAGTCAGGATCGCGCGCCTCCATTCGAGTGAGACGTAAACACCTGAGAACGAAGCCGGCACCTAACAAGACGCAAAAATAAATTGAGAGACGCGAGATTAATGAAACGCCCGCCGGCGGCGGCGAGCACGAAAGGGCGGAGTGTAAAAAAGGGCCCGCAGAAGAAGCGGATGAAGAAAAGAGAGGAGGAAGATCGGCGGACCAATGACCAGACAGAGAGAGAGAGAGAAAGAGAAAGAGAGAGAGAGAAAAAGAGAGAGACCAATGCGAATCTCTACTAATGCGAGCTTCGTCGCTACAGAACAGTTGTTCGATCTAATTTATTTAGTGTTAATCAATTTAATCAGGCAGCTTCAGAAATAAAGAATCATTTCTGTAAATGTTGGCCCATTAATCTCTAACTTACTCGTGCATCTGAGTCTCGTGGGATACATTTATATATTTATCTCATATAAGAATGATAAAAGAGTGAAATATGTAACTTCTTATACAAGCATCCTCGATAGGAAGAATTAAGCGCGTATTGCAGGCACCTAATAAACCTATTAAAATTTTTAATTTATATTTTTGAAAGTTTAATACTTTTTTGCGCACAAAATAAATAAGAGTCAATCACGGATGGCATAAAAATATGCACTAAAATATTATGAAAGTATCATTTTTGACTGTTTGTGAGAAAAACATAATTTTGAGGAAATGTGGAATAAGAATTTTTTAATTCTTAAGACTTTCCGCAATTTTTAATGGTTTTGTGATTCGCGAAACTCCCGCGAATCTCTATGCGTAACATCTGCGTTTGTGTGCTAATCATTGGGGACGCGAACTAATGAACTTACGAGCAAGCATGAAAAAGCCTAGAACCGTCTACAAATAAATATTTCACTCGAAACATCGTCGTCCGCCTTCGGCCGCCTCGCCGAAGTCCATGAACCTTAAGGTTTTAGCAGATCTCTAAGACGAGAGGGGGTACTTCGAAACCTCTTAACGAGGAAACTTTTGTCGAAACGAGCCACTTGGAAATTTTCGGGGGTAGCTTTAAATATTTGAAACCGTGTTCTCTTTAGCTCCCCCCCTCTGTCCTCTTTTCCCTTTGTACTCTTCTCCGGTATGGCCGTTCTAATTTAACGCTAGGTAACGCGTGGGAGTGTCGAGCTTACCTTTGTAACACGTACTTTAACTATCGATAGATCGTTTCGCGATTCGACAAGAAACAAAAACGCCGATTCTCTATCCGCTTGATTAACAGTGCGTTGCACGGCGAGATTTTTTATTGTTAGAAGCTTCTTTTAAAATATTGATATTTGTATTGAATCTATTTCGCAAATAATTAGATCACTAAATAACAACGGTAAATTATAAACAGTAAACAACAATAACGGTAAATAGTTGTACAGTTTTCTTCAAAAATTTTGTCAACAAATATAATTTAAAGTTCTTTACTTTTTTATTTAAGCAAATTTAATAGACGACGATAAATAAATGGTATACAATTACTTTTTACTGCGCAAAAATCAATTCTTAGGATAACGGCACAATATAAGCGTTAGTAATACTAGTCGACGACAAAATATCGCTTAACGTAGACACGGCACTTATCGTCATCAGCATTAATTCATTGAACAGAGCGCGTTACAGCGGTACACATGCGGCGAGCAGTATTCGAAATTCCATTTCGCGCTTAGTCAGGTGGAAGCTATAACGTGTCCGACAATAATGAAAATTTTCAAATTTCACGCTCGATTATCCGACGCTGCCATTTGGCGCGTCTAGAATCGTAGTAAGTATCTCCACGCGATCTGTTCAGCATCCCAACTCGACCAGCTGCTCGTTGCGAAGCTTTTAAACTTGTTGAAGAAATGAGGGACTCTAATGTCAGCAATTATTGTGATTTCATACTTTTCGTTCGAGAAGCAAAAAAGTAATAGTGCGCGAGTCTGTTAACCGATATTTAAACACATAAATATTTTAATTGAAGAAATTTCTATCAATTTTTTTTTCTCAATGTACAATAAAGAGAAGTGGTTTACACGTATGTTCGCACAACAAATAAATTTAGCGTGTCGTTGCAACAACAGAACCTTGTCGTATTTTGTCACAGCAATGCAAAGAGAAAGATATATGTATAAGAATAAGAAAGACTCGAGATAAAAGTGCGAAATCGTGCGAGAGACACAGGCGACTGCCCTCACACCCGGCATTCCGCATGCATCGTTTCCCATCGCATTAACCACAACCTCCCTCAATCCGCGCTTTATTTATTACCTGCGTTGCGTTCCTTCGTCCTTTCGCTCTTCCACGCAGAATCAGCGTTGTAAATCACGAACCAGTCTCTGAGGTGTCGCGCGCAGCTCGTCTCGTTAAAAAATCATCACCGAATTAAATCGACTCTCGCCCTTCCGCCGTGTAAACAACCCCCTCACGTTCCGTATATAGATTTTCATGCAACATACCCTCCGTCCCCCGCCGCTCCCCTTTTCCGTTCTCTTTCGGGACGGGAAAATCGACTTCGGCCGCGTCGGCTCGACCCTCGATAATAGATGGCACCCATGGGTACCGCAAATGAACCACGAAATGCTGCCAGTGTCCAGGACCATCCTGTCATTGGTCCTTGCCGGGACCGGCGGCCATCTGTCCACCCTGATCGCTGCGATCCTGCGCAAAAGATAACAGATCTCAAATCGGGGAATTCGGCGACGTCAAACGTGCTCGGTTAGAGTTTCTCTACCGCGTTGAGAAACAAATCTATCAAATATAACTATCGATAGTTAAATGGTGTCAATATTACGTGCTCTATCCGATTACAGAAATTTATTTGCAAAACTTGCTCTCGGCGTTTAAGGAAAGCATCGTAGTTTTCGGATTGCACTTTTATCAACTTTGTCACTTGACTGAATGCAGATGGCTGAAAAATGTGTAAATGAATTCTAGCGCTACAAGAAAGCAAGAATGTGTTTAAAAGTCAATTATTAAATATAAAGTAAAATTAAGAGGAGCGCAAAGAGCCAGAATGCAAGATCTTCGTGCGAAAGATTACGAAAACTGAAATATAGATATATTAATTGTATCCTTCTTCTCAAGGCGGAAATTTTATAGAATATTTCGCAGCGCAAGAAATTAAATATTTTAAGCCGAGCGCGAGACTCGCAGCACTTACGGGTTAAATACATATATCACTAAACATATCGTTATGGCGTAAGTGGCGTAAGCGCGGCTCGTTGTTCCATCGCGGCGGCTTAAAATTCCGTAGAAAAGAGCACAAATCATCGAGGCGGCTCTCCCGGGAAATATCGAACGCGGCCATAAATTGCAGATCAAAACGTGTCAAACGGTCCGGTCGCGAAATTAAAAGTGACGGGCATTGCGCGGCCGCCCGCACCCGGCATCCCGTATTGGCATAGCGCGAAAACCGCCGAGCCGCTATAATTGTGAGTTACGGTGATCACGCCGGCGTTTATTTATTCGCCGTTGCGCCCGTTATTTATGATGAAAATGCATCAGCGAACACTCTGTACCGCCGGCCAGCCGATGTATATTACGTGTATCGATGACGCATCGATATTTCATCGAAAAGTCCCAAAACGTGTGTCGGCCAACCCCCCCACAAATCCACTCCCTTCAAATCTGTCACCAAGAAAATTAGAAGCAATGTGCCGCACCTTTCACGAACGCTCGATTTTGCCAGTATTAGATTCAGATATTTCGACACCGTCGTCACGCTACGATTTATTACTGTCACTAGGAATGATCAACGCCTACGCTAAGTATAGCTGAATGTATAGTTTATTATTATTTATTAGGATAAGCTGCCAAAAAAATCAAACCGGTCAGAATTTTCGGAGGAGCGTTTTATTTTTGGTCAACTGTGTGTGCACTCCGCAATTTAAAATGCAATTTTATTTATCATGAAAAATTTCCTGTTATTCGAAACATTTTACCTTATATTTGCAAGCATAATAATAATACCGGTAATAATATTTAGCATTGTTGTACATTCTTCGAGAGCATTTCGTGAATCTTATCAGCGAATTTCGGTCCTGAAACCAAGTCCTTGAGCTGAGACGTGGAGCTGCGAAGTGCAAGAGGGTAGAAAGTGCCGACGATAGGGGTAAACGACAGGGGATAGAAAGCATTACAGGCGCATAGGTGCCACCAGGGTGCCGTTACTTAGCCGCGCACAGCGCCGGAAAATTGTTTACCGGATTGTTTAAACGAAATTTACTAAAGCTTACTGATTTTATATCACGCCGACGCAACCCCTGGGAGTCGCACGGGATTATACATTAACGAAGTTAGCCATGCGCAGGGGGAGTGAAAAGGTGCGGGGGGGTGATGTCGAGCTCGTTGAAAATTAGCCGCGCGCTATAATCGTCCCAAAATAAACGCTCTATTTCACGCTTCGTATAAATGAATTGAAAAAAAAAAAGAAATAAAAGCGTGACTATTGAGAAATTTATGGTTTACAGACTCGTAAATTTATAACCGCCGGGGTTATAAATTTGTGAGTACTTCACATAAATTCATGAGAATTCGCGTTTAATCTCAGGATTTCTCTTCCACAGATCCTTAAATTTTAATGCCGTATTTTTTATGTATTAATCATTCGCCTGACGCATTTTGCACATCGATGCAAAAATATATAAAATCAATACATTGTTCGATTTATAATTACAGAATTATGTTATGCTGATTTAACATTTATAATATTGAGATCTATGCTTCGAACGTTTCCCTTTTTTATTATTGTGCAAGTTTTATGCTTTGTTTCTAGATATTTTGTGTTTTATGTATTGTATTTAAGTAGTATTCAACGCGAAATCGGGAGAAAACTGCGGAATATTTATGAAGTAAAACTCATATGCTGCGATGCCGGCGAATCGCTACAGAAAACGAACCGTACCGATCGACCGACCCATCTGGCCAAAGTGGCGATCGTAATGTCCTGCCGGTTATCACCTATAATTTGGGGTAATATATTACTTGGTAATTCGTTGCTCATTGGCGCAAGATGCAATTACGAGCGTAAACGGGCAGCGGGCCGCGTCCGCCATATGTCTCGCCGGATCCTCGGGATCGGCAATTTCTGATTGCGATCTCGCGATGCCTAAATCATTTAAGGTCGTTGCGTCACGCCCTAAATAACTTAATCGAGCAGGTGAGCGATATCCTCCGAAGGACTGTGCTCGATTTCGGAACCGAGCTGGCAGTTCATTGCTCGAAAGACCCGCTTTATACTGATAGATCTTTAATTAAGGCCTTTACTAATTAAGGCTTTTACTAATTAAGGCCCTCTCTTCTCTAATGTCAAACGATCGCATAAACTTTTATTCCGGATCCTTATTCTACGGAAATTTGTGTGTGATAGAAATGTTAGTTAATTCATGTGATGTGCATTAATTAATTAATATTTTTATCACACACATAAATTTCTATAATTTCCTATTTTTATTTTTTATTTATATATTGTATTTTGCTACTTTTCTCAGCACTAAATACGCGGCGATTACAAAGAATATGTTATTCTCGATCTGCTTCATTTACGTTTCGATATTATCGTCGATATAATCATTGCATCGATTACTCATTAAACAAGCAGGAAAGAACTATATTTTACTCGTGAAACGCATTACAGCACAAAGCTAAATCCGTGAATAGCGGAGTTCCTTTGAATGTTTGCTGTCAACATCCTTAAGACGGTCCGTCCGCGCATTTCCCAAGAAACTCTAGAGAGCAGGCAATTAGCTCCGGGGTTAAATACCTGCCCCTGCACGACTCTGCCTCGCGCCGAGACAGATTAGACTCGTAATAAAGTGCTGGGGGTATAGTCACGGAGGAAACGGTGCACGAGGGAGTCACTAAGGCGCCGCTCTCGTTGGAAGCCGCTCTGAAACAGATTTAAACTCGTTTCCTCAGCGCCGTCGCATGCGCCGCGAAACTTTCTCGCGTTTTAATTAGCCGACCGCGCAGTCATACCGCGATGCCGTCCCAAGATTTCAACCTGTAACAGTCTCAATTCTAGCTTCAGCTAAATTTCACGGTTCAACTATTGCTCGATCTTCTCATTATTCTGATAATTATGCTTGTAGTTATCAATATTTGATAAGAAGATTTTAAAAAGGTTGAAACAAATTCTAATTTGAATGAAAAGTTTGAATTCAAAGCAAAACCATTAGAGCTTTTTGCTCAGACAATTTGAATACGAATAATGGTAGATTTACTTGATGCATTTGCAATGCCTAAAAATTCGACTATTTGAATAATTCAGACATCAATAAAAAATTAGAATAAATATAATATTGGTTTGATCATTGAAAAATTCCAAGTATTAATAAAAAATATCTTCATATTTATTACAATTTTTTAAATATAATTATACCATATACTTTGCGTAATTATACGAATATTTATAGAAAATATATGCAGGAACCCCTGAAAAAGTTTTGTGATTGCAGATATTGACTTTAATTACTTCTGATAAAACAATAATATACAGTAATATCGTAAAAAAGTTTTTAGGCCTTTACAGAATTTTTTTGTGAAAAAATTTGTTCAGAGTTTCTAATTTTATCAACATATGCTATTTTCTGTTTCTAGGAAGTAACGCGTCGAATCTTTTCACATGTATCCGCATATAAAACTCTTATGCCCATTTCCACCAATGTAGATTAACTTTAATCTCGGTTCAACTTACTCTTCATCTTTTTCTAGTTCTAAGAATTAGAAAAAGGTGCAGAGTAAGTTGAACCGAGATTAAAGTTAATCTACGTTGGCGGAATCGGGCATTAGAGATATTTTTCCATCAAAAAATATAACATCGGAAAGGCTCGAAAAGAATTACACAAATACTATGTTCTTTCAAAGAATCTTGCACGTAAAAAGATTGAACACCAAAGTTAGATAGTTAAATAATTCATTTATTAACGCAATAATAATCCGATTTTACAGCGTTTGGAGAATCTTTGCTTTTCTTTCGAAAATTCCACTTCGCCGGTCTGAGGAAAAGGAAACTCGTTCAGTCAGCAGGGCCGAGGTAATTCGTAAGGAGAAATTACTTAACTCTCGGATGATACATAAATTAAGTCGGAATCGTAAAGGGGCCTGTACCACAGTCGCAGCCAGTTAGCGTGAGGGTGCCCCAGAGGGTAGTATACCCCCCTCTGCTGCTTCCGTTGGCTCTTTCTGTCTCCTCCTTGCCCCCACCCGGTTGTGCTCCTTCTATTTCGCTCAACCCTTTACGCTACTGTCTAATAGAATTACCCTCCAAGCTAAAGTTAGCCGGATTGAAATTGCCGTCACATTTTTATCAAATCTCGTTAATTAAACCATCAATTTAGCAGTGGATTATATTTGCAATTATTTTCCTCGGATAATTAAATTGAAAAACCGAAAAGAAAATTAATTAATCCCACTTTTCATACTTGCTTTAATATTTTGATTTCAACGATAGCTTAATTTATCAATCGAGATTTGATGGTTTTTTTGAAAGAACAGCTGTTCTTTCTGGTTGGCACTGCAATTGATAGATTGATGATGATTGCTGAATAATTATTGTTGGAGGAAGATACAATTTTAGAGAGTGTTGAAAATTTTCGAAGACGCAAATAACTCGCGAATTCAAAGCGTAGCGTTCCAACGCTCCTTATTTATACCCGTCT